CGAGGGCGAGGGACGACCATCGTGGTCGTGCCATTCTCGAGGCTTATTGATGATGTGGTGAAGCGGTCGAGGGAGAAGGGCGTGGACGCTGTTCACTTCCGAACCAACCAGGTCATCGCGCGCGAGGCGCTCCCGTACGTGCCGCGGCTGGTGATTGTCGGTGCGGATGTGGCGGTGAAGGAGAACGAGCTATTCATGGCTTACATAGGCAAGCTAGACAAAGGAGGCCATCTGCAGAGAATATTCATCGACGAGGCACACGTGACGATCACGGACTCATCTTACAGGGAGCAGCTGACGAAGCTCAAGGGGCTACATCGGTTTAGCAAGCCGATCATCATGCTTACTGCCACGTTGATGAAGACGATGGAGCGAGATTTCCGACAGATGCTCCTCCTGCCAGCCGAGACACGGATCATCCGCGACCGAACGACGAAGAAGAACGCCAGGTATGACATTGTGCAGGTGGGAGGAGAGGAGGAGGGCGCAGTGGAGAGGGCAGCGGTGCAGTTTATAAGGCGGACAGAGACGTCGATGATGAGCCACGAGAAGTCCATCGTGTACTGCAAGTCCATAGATCTGTACCCACAAAGTAGCGGACGCAGTGGCGTGGACCGTTTTTGGTGAAATTCGACTTGCAGCAAAATTTGTTTTTCAGCGCACATCACACACCAACCAAGAATGATAATAGACTAAAAATTATACTAGAAGATAGCCAGTAGCGTAATTAACTTGTGCATCAAAACGTTTTATTTGTAACTTCTCGTGCAGCCGTTTTATTCTAGTTTAAAGTCACATTTCGACGGTCATAGCCAGTTCTTCTGCACACTTGCTGACTAACCACCTGAGACCCCTGTCGCAGGCGTTTTTAGCTCCTGTGGAGTGAAGGCCAATGAACTATCGCGATTGCGGCTACGCAACCCCTGTACAAATAAGCGATCCAGTAGGGTGTGAGAAACCCCGGCTACTCCTGCCGCGCTCCGCTTATTGGGAACTCACAACACCACGCACCAACAACTAGGCTGTGGTTTGGTGGCCAGCGTTGATGCACGGATGAACTCGATGCATATTGGTCTGACTACCCTATGTCGGCCGTGGAAAGAAAAATTCATAACATAGGACACAATAACTAACTAATTAACTAATAATAATTAAACAACATGGAAAAAAACAGAAACAATTCAATATCATGCCAGGTATAAGGTCGGAGTGATACAAAATTTAGTTCTCTCCCAAATTTATTTAGGTGAACTGTTGTCAGTAAGAGCCGAACCCTCTTCCGGATGAGGGTGAAAAAACTCCAGAAAGCAACACAACGAATTCTCATACCGGAAAGTCAGCCACAAAAAAGAACCCGGAGTTTCTTCGCCGATAGACACTGACTAAGCCTGCAAGACGGATTCCTTTAGGCCACGACCGCCAGAAGGTCACTTTTGCACTGGATGCCTGAATGCCACTTTACGCGTGTCGAGTCCCGAACGCGTCGTGCTGGCCCTTCGTAGTTGTCCTACGCAGATCGAATAGCGCATGCACTCGGATGGATGTTACATAGATTGTTAGACTAATTATCCGCGTCCCGCATTCTCATTTCCCGAGTTTCCCGAGTGAACAGTTGGTTGGCCTTG